CATCACCTGTAGCAGGGAGTGTCCCACTACTAACACTTAACTGCTTTCTCCTGCTGCTCCTGTGTGACTTAGGCTCATCTGGCAGAGGTGCTTCGTTTGACAGGGCTCCCAACCCCTTGTCTACTACTAGGGCACTGGATTTATTCTGTAGTTGCAAGTCGCAGGAGCCATCATCCTGGTGCCAAAAGTCAGAAGCTTCCAGCCTTCGCCACCATGGGAGTCTTCACTTCCCAATTTGATAGGCACGGACTTTGCCTGCCCCTCCTCACATACCATTGAGGGTTCAGACTTTCTAAGCTGCAGGGTCTCAGAGAAGATCTAGTAGATTTTGTTCTTGTCATCTCTGATGCTGTCATGCAACTAATCAAAGAAAAGAGAAGGCAAAAATGGAAACGTTTCTACCTCCGGCTTTTCAGTATCCTAACTGCTTTTTCGATATCCTTCTGTCAACGTCTGCATCCGTATTGTCAACAGGGAGACTGCAGACCACTTAGAAGACCCTCCAAAAAAATAACCCCGAAGGAGCCTTTTTCCTCAGGTCTAGTGTCAAGGTCAAATGTTGATTCAATATGGAACAATCTGTGTGGTTTTGGTGCTTTTTGGATTTTGGCACTTGTCTTCCACTGAAGGCCGCTCAGGACTCAGTGTCAAAGGCTAGGAGACAAATGAGATCCCTGAGTCCTGAAGTGCCTTTCAAGATCGGGGCCAGAGGCACTTACAAAGATTCTGCTGAAATAAACAAATTGCAGTTCCATCCTTCCAGCCTGAAGGCTGTGTCCGCACTCAGAGATCTTTCCAGATGTTCAGTGAACTAACATGGATAAAAGGACAGGGAGACAATGCAGAAAACAGGAAGCATTTATCCAACCTTTACGTACGCTAGGCTTACCTCTCTGTGACTTCTAGGGCACGTGACCTACGTGGACCTACATCAGTATAAAGCAAAAGTGAAAATCAACAAATTAGCTTAATTACAACAGTGCAGTCTTCCCTACAGTCCCAGAAAAGAACCGTAATACTAATGATCAGTGTCTCGAAAGGCCAATTGCCCAAGCACATCTGTATCACTTTAAGACCTTTATACCAAGCATGGAAATAGTCTCTCATTATTTACCCAGTCTGATCCTGTGAGGCTTTGGAAGTTGGGAATGAAATACACTGCTCCTCCCCGCCTCCCCTTTTCTGCAGCGTCTGAAAATTTCGGTGGTCGCAGCAGCTCCTGTATGGAAATGAGAAGTCTCTTCATCTGGAATCCAAAGGTCAGATAAAATCCCTTCCAAGATAAACGGAACTGAAATGGGCTCTGTAGTATGCATGTGATCGGGAAAGCTGTACTTCATATTTCAGGTGAGTATAAAATATTTTATTACAGCTCATACTGTAAACAAGAGAGCTCTTTTCAGGAGGCTTGGCCCTTTATTATTTTTGTTTTCTGTCCTTTTTTTTTCTTATTTCATTCCTGGTTGTGATGCTGAACATATGTTGAAAAGGCCTTGGGATGGTTCCTTTCTGAAATGATGGTGAATTTCAGTGTTCTATAGCTCAAAGTGACAGCTTAGGGCACTCTGAGGGTTTGTACGTTGTTTTTGTTTGGTTTGATTTGCTACTTGATATGGGTTTGGTTTTCTGTCTTCATTTGTTATAAAGATCAATGTTTTTAATTGGCCAGTGGAGTGCCTTAAAAGGTTTCTTTTCAGTTGGGCAGATTAATGGAATTATAGATTTTTTTTGGTTATCGACCACTTTAGTCCCCCTAAGAAAATTCTTCATTTTTAAATGAACGCTTTTTTCAACCTCTTAACAAAGATTGCCAATTTCAGATGAAAAAAAAAAAAACCCAAAAAACCCAGGGAAGGATTCTTCTCCCCTAACTTCATTCACCTGAACACGAGAAGTGTAAGCCAAGTTTGTTATCCAGATAATTCTATAGAAATAGAATTTTCATCCCTGCTCTTTCAGAATCCAATCTTGGAGTGAAATGAATTTCCCTTTTGAGATTCTTGTCTCTCTCCTCTGTGTAGGCAAGCAACCGAATCTTCTGTCTACTGGTCTAGATACCTGACATTGAGACAGCAAAGCTGGGAGTAAATCCCAAGTCAGAAGAGAAGGCAAACACCAGTGAGTTTCGCAAACCTATGGGATAAGGTTATGCAGGATTTTTTAAAATACATTGAAAACATTGATTTGCTTCCTCTCAAATTTG